TCCACACAGCAGCTTTGGGGAGAGGGGCGGGGGCGGGCTGCCACCATCCTGGAGAAAGGACAAACCTGGTGCAGCCTGCCCAGCCGGTCTGGCTGGGAAGGAGACGAAGACTCAGACACCTCTGCCATTCTGCTCCCTTCTGCTCTGAACAGTGGAGCAAGTTCTGGGGTGAGGAAGGGGAGTGAGAGGAGAGAAATGAGGGGGTCCTCAAAATGTGGGGGGTCGCTCTAGATCAGTGCTTCTCAACTGTGGGCTGGGGTCCCTTTAGGGATTGAAGGACCCTTTCACAGGGGTCACCTAAGACCATCAGGAAACACAGATATTTATGATTCAAAACAGTAGCAAAATTACAGTTGTGAAGTAGCAATGAAAATAATTCTGTGGTTGGGGGTCAGCACAACCTGAGGAACTGCATTAAAGGGTCACAGCGTTAGGAAGGCTGAGAACCACTGCTCTAGCTGGATGGAGCTGGGCGCCACTCTCCCTGTACCACACATTGAGGGTGAGGGGGCTTTCAGAAGGAAGAAAGTAGTCCCTGCCCTCACACACTAGAATGGCTTGACCTCCTTTAAGTTCTGCCACAGCACTCATGATCTATCGATTACAAAGAAGACTTTCCACAAGGGGAATGGTGATATATTTATTGTTTGCAAAGCCAGCCACACTAGTTAGCTATAGAAACTAGACAGTGGTGGTCCACACCTTTAATCACAAGCACTCAGGAGACAGGATCTCTCTGAGTTCAAAATCACCCTGGCCTACATAGAGTGAAGAACACCTTTGGTCCAGCACTTGGGACCACAGTCTTTAATCCCGGCACTAGGGAGATGGAGACAGAAGTGACATGACTGGGCAGAGAGAAGAAGGGACAGGAGCTTTTGCCTCTGAGCATTCATGGAGCCAGGCTTGCCATTTCAGCTGGGTAGAGTAAGAGCTACTGGCTTGGCTGCTTTGCTTCTCTGATCTTCAGCTTGAAGCTTGAACCCCAATATCTTTTATCTTTCGTGTTACAAAGGGGGCAAAAGTAACTTTTTACCTAATACCTTGATGGGTGATGGCAGGCCGGAGTCACAATGCAGAGGTTTCAGGACCTCTGGAGATGTGAACCAAACACAGATCTCCAGTTGCATGTGAACAGCTCAGTTGGTCATCATAAACATAAAAAGTTTAAAGAGTCAAGGCAGGGAGTGAGTTCCCTCCAAAGGCTGCCAAAGTATGCTGGGAACGAGGAACCCCAAGAACAGAGGCATTTACTAAACCAGAACTGTCACACAATTGTAGTAAAGAATGGACACTGTGGAGTCCATCGCAGTGAATACATTCTAAAGAGAGAATTACCACCTAACCCCAGGAGGGACGGGGTCCCTTTATAGCAGTTCAGAGGGGTGACTTGACCTTGCCTCTTGGGCATTGTGTGGAGGTTTTATTTGAATGTCTCAGAGGAGGGCAACTCGGCATCTTGTTGGGTAGGTACATTTGTGGTGCCCTTCCTGATACTAGCGGTTTAGTGTGAGGTGTCAGAGGTCCTTAGGAATTAGGCTGTAGTTGCTTGTATAAGGCATGAGAAGTGGCTGGTTTTGGATCCGATCAGTCAAGGTCTTATTGTGAGAGAGTAGGGGTTCATACCCATCTTTGTTTTCATCCCCTCAAAGTAGGAGGGAGAGCAAATGATAGCATTTTAGGCTCCTTTCAATTACTGCTCTTAGCAGGAAGCTGCTGCGGTTTTACCGTGCCTCAATGCACCAGTGAGGACTAATGTCCACAATCTCTGCTCAGAACTACATATCCTGTCTTGGGAGTCTTCCAGTATACCATGTCATTCCTCAACCCATGCCCACAGTTGGAGTGGCTCCTCTCAGAAACCCCTAGAACGTATACAATGTGTAAGAGGTTGCCTCCTGGACGTTAGTAAGTTCAATGGGCATTTCTGAAGAGGTTCCAAGTATCCCAAAGGGATCGGACAGAGACACATGGATAATAGTAAGCAAAGCAAGAGGATTTATTAAGAAACCATTCACGCAGGGCGGCGGTGGAGCACGCCTTTGATTGCAGCACTTGGAGGCAGAGGCAGGTGGAGCTCTGTGAGTTTGATGGCAGCCTGGTCTATAGAGCAAGTTCCAGGACAGCCAGGGTTGTTAAGAAGGAAAGGACTTATTCCCAAAAAGAGGTAAAGCAGGCTGGTGCACAGACAAAGCTTAGGAGCTCAAACAGTGACGGCACACAAAGGATCGGGACTTTGGGCTTTGGGGGTCATTTGCATAATATCTTAGTTGGGGTTTCTATTGCTGTGATAAAACACCAACCACAACCATCTGGGGAGAAAGCACTTCGGCTTATAACTCAGGTCATACTCTACCTCTGAGGAAAGTCAGTGCAGGAACTGGCCTGCTCTCCATGGCTTGCTTTCTTCTACACACCCCACGACCACTCCCCTAGGGGCGGCCCCACACATCAATCATTAAGAAAACAAGCTTTCTTATAGGCCAATTTTTTTCCTTTATTGAAAGTAGATTTTTTATTCCCCTCTCATGATACACCCTGATTATGGTTTCCCCTCCCTTTACTCCTCCGGTTCCCTCTTACCCCCCTCCCATCCAGATCCACCCCCTTTCTCTCTCATTAGGAAACATACTTCTAAGAGATGATAATAATAAGTATAACAAAATAAAATAAGATAAAACAAAAACTATCACTTCACAGCTGAACAAGACAAACAGGAGGAAAAGAGCCCAAGAGAAGGCACCAGACTCAGAGCCCCACTTGTTCACACTCAGGAATGCCATGAAACACTGAACTGAAGCCATAATGTAAACACAGAGGACCTGGTGCAGACTCCTGCAGGCCCTGTGCTCGCTGCCTCGTCCCTGACTTCATGTGAGCTTTGATCACGCTGATTTACAGGGCCTTTCTTTCTCGGTGCCCCCATCCCCTCGGGCTTTTACACGTTTTCTGCCTCATCTTTCTCAGGGTTCCGAGTCCTGAGAGGCATGATTCGATAGAGACATCCCATTTAGGGCTGAGTGTTCCAAGGTCTCTCACTCCTCACATAATGTCTGTCTGTGGGTCCCTGTATTTGTTCCCATCTGCTGCAGGAGGGAGTAAGGCACTAATCTGCCAGTATAGGAGAATGTCGTTAGAAGTCATTTTGTTGCTATCTTTTTGTTGTTGTTAGAACAGTAGTATTTGGTTTTAACCTAGGTCCCTGGACTACCTAGCCTCTGGTTCTTGGTCACACGAGCAGTGCTGGGTATGGGTTTCATATCTCATGGAGTGGGCCTTATGTCAATCAAATATTGGCTGACCACTCCCACAAGGTTTGTGCCACCATGGCCCTAGCATATCATGCAGGCAGAACACCCTTGTAGATCAAAAATTTGGTGGCTAAGTTGATGTTTATGTTTCTCTTTTGGTAGCGTGCTGAGTACCTTCCTGTACCAAAGATGCTAGAATGTAGGGGTGAACGCTCTATGCAGGCATTCTCCATGGTCAAGGAATTCTGTAGGTGTTGAGGCCTTGCTGTCAATCAGTGGAGAGAAACTTATAGTCCTGGCGATAGCCTGGGTTGTTTGGAGAGTTGTTCCATGGGGCCTCCTTGGCCAGAAACTCAATTAGATGTAACCCAATCCCTGTACTAAAAACTTCATTTGGTGACAAGAGATAGACTGTTGGGACTTTGTCTTCTCTATTATTTGGTGAGTTCATTTTGATCACCTTCATATGTATATATTTTACAAAGCTTCTACCGTATTAGGTTTCACTATTACTCTCAAATTGCCCTTAATTTTAGCTACCTCTCCTCACATTCCTTCTCTAGTCCCCATCTCTCCTCTCCATCCCCACTTGATTCTCCCATTCCAGCACCCCCATCTATCCTTAACTACCCTGTTCTACTCCCCTTTCCTAGTCTGCCACCCCCTCCCTTACTCTATACCTACTCTCTGTGGTTCTACACATTGTAGCTTGGCTATCACTGACTTAACAGCTAATATCCACATACAAGCAAACACATACCAGGTTTGTCTCTCTGGGTCTGAGATACCTCACTTGGGATGATTTTTCTCCAATTTCCATCCATTAATCTGTGAATTTCATGATGTCATTTTGTTTTAATGGATGAATAGTACTCTTCTGTGTAGGAGTACCATGTTTTCTTAATCCGTTCTTCTGTTTAGGGACATCTAGGTTGTTTCCAATTTCTGACTATTATGAATAGAGATTTCATCCCTTGTCGTTAAGGAACCAGGCTTGCTTACAGGCCAGTCTTACAGAGCGCTTTCTCAATTGCAGTTCCCTCTTTTCAGGTGACTCTAGCTTGTGACATGTTGACACAAAACTAGCCAGTGCACACAGAATGGGCTTTGGGGAAGTTATTTGTACAGCACAGGCTTTGTCACGAATGCAGTTTTTAACAGATCAGAGGTTGCCTTCAGACATTCTGCAGGGTCCCAGCACCAACTCCGGTGCCTCTCGCCAGCTCTAGTTAGCCTTGGTCAGGACTGGCATGGGCTTCAGCCTTGCTCTTTACCAACATCGTTTCTACTATGCTAATTTCTTATATTTATTCATTCATTTGAGGTATGTGTGGGGCCAGAGCACAACTTGTAGGATATGATTCTTTCCTACCTCCATGTTGGTTCCAGGGACTGAACTCACGTTGTCAAGATTGGTCACAAATCTCTTTGCCGAGGGAACCTCCTCACTGTCTCCCCATGCGTTTTAGAATGTGAACCTTGCAGAGAAGATGCTGTCCTTCACTTTGTACGCATTTCTTTTGCATCATCACGACAGAGGGCCACACCTAGCCTATAGGAACACTAGGTGTCCCCCTAAAACTGGTTGCAGAGAGGGTGAGGAGGGTAGAGCGCTATCTTCATCAGGGCAGGTGCTCTGCTCGTGCTGTGGGCAGGGACCTAACGCTACACACTAGGAGGTGCTTCAGGGGCCCCAAATGGTCCATTCCTTCCCCTCCTGAGGCTTTGTTTCTTCCCCTAGAATTCTTGCAGTCTAGAGGCACACTACTCAGAAAAGAATCACAGGCACACACAGGTATATTATGTATTTTTATACCATATAGATGCATCATCCTTTCCAAGGTGAAAGCTCAGAGAATATTGTAGATGGTGGAAAGGAAGGAGGAGATGAAGGAAGAGTGGTTGAGTGTGATAGGAAAGGCGTTTCCTCTAGCTTAGCATGATCATCAGCCATGAGCTTAGCATGATCATCAGCCATGAGCTTAGCATGATCATCAGCCATGAGCTTAGCATGATCATCATCCATGAGCAGGGAGACCACTGCTGTGATCCACTGACCGCCATCGCCCATAGTCATGGTAATGAAAGAAGCAAAATACTGCTTTGCTAAACAGATTGGTGTTTGTGGTAAAGTGTTAGCATGTCCCTCTTAGAGGGACATGAGGGTCAGCAGACCTGAGGTTCCCGCCACCACTCCCTCAGACTCATGTCTGCGTCTTGTCTAGAGCAGATGTCCAGGTGGAAGTTTCCTAAGGGTTGATGATGTAGTGGTGCAGTTTTTGTGAGTTGTCACCCATGACAAGAGTGGGGCTTTTCAGTGATGGAGCCACCAAAATAGAGGATGGTTAGGCAATAAGAGCTGGATGAAGTGGGGGGAGGGGAGCAACCCCCGGGTGGAGGAGCTCTGGCTGCAGCATTTGGGCCAAGACAAAGGGAGAAAGCCGAGGGCTATCACACCTCCAAATGTGCTCTGTGCTCTGGCTCTGAGCTGGTTTTGGTCAGTTTGTTTGTTTTTAAGATTTATTTATTATGTATATAGTGTTCTGCCTGCATACCAGGACAGGGCACCAGATCTCATCATAGATGGTTGTGAGCCACCATGCAGTTGCTGGGAATTGAACTCAGAACCTCTGGAAGAGCATCCCGGGCTCTTAACCTCTGAGCCATTTCTCCAGCCCGAGCTGACTTTGTAGATGATTCTTGTCTCTAGAGTCCTTTGCAGCCTAAGGCCACACCCCCGGAGAGTGCAGGTACCAGGCCAAACGTCAATCTTCCTCATAACAAACTCCAGCAGACCCTACCACAGCCATCAGCCTTGTGATCAACAGGCCCACTATAGAATGGAAACACCACTAAGAGGCCCATGGCTTCCACAGCAGTGTGTTACCCATGAGCATGGCTTCATGACCATTAGGTATTCGGAGCTGGTATCCCCCTAAATACGGAGCCTGAGCAACCTCAACAGTCATGTGCCACAGATGACAGCCTTCCAGACCATAGCTACTGCCCTCCTGCCTAACCCTACAGGAGGCATGAAGTCTGGAGGTCCCTAAAGGAAGCAGCCATTAGAGGGTCCTCTCAGCAGATGTCTCCTGGCTCTTTGAGCTGTATTCTCTTTCTTTGCCTCTCGCCACAGCCTTGGTGGCTGTGACACCAAGGGCCCTGCCAGGACCAACTCCAGGAGAGGGCTCTGTTCTAAACCCAGTGATTGGCCACCAAGGCCCCATTCTGGTGCCTTGGGGTCCTAGTCTGGGGTGGCATGTATGTGATCTTGTCCCAGGGTCTTTCACGTTGGTCTTTAGAATCTCAGTTGTCTGGTCCCTTCTGGGGAGCCAATGCAGCCTCTTCAGGACACCTGAGCTTCCTAGAGTGTTCAAAACCCACATCAGCTGCAGGCTGATTTGGGGTCTTCTTGCTAACATCGCAGATTCCTCTGGTCCATGGTACATGTTCACTTTTATGTGAGGGTCAAGCTCTGAGAATCTTGGCTCTTGTGGGGTGTATCGGAGGGCTTGGCTGACATGGATGCATCCTGGAACTCCTTGGCCATGTAGTAGTAACAGATGGCATCCAGGCAGCAGTTGGCGTCTGAGAGTCTGCTTGTGATGGACAGGGCACGCCTGAAGGTGTAACGGGCAGCACAGGTGTTCAGGCCCAGGGAGACCTGCACAGTCAGGACCACATGCAGTGGTAGGAAGCAGAAGATAAACACAGCCAAATTGGCCCAGACCATGCGGGTGGCCTTGCGGGTGGCCTCTGCCTGCGCTACATCAGTGGTTGGCCTCTGCACCAACGCAGTCACAATCTGCAAAGAGCAGAAGACCACTATGGCCAGTGGCAGGTAGAAGCCTAGGAGCGAGAAGCTAATGGTGCTGAAGTTGTGCCGGGTGTTGCTCCTGAAGCAGAAACCACCCTCCTGCAGCCCCAGACGCCAGCGCACTACCAGGGAGGTAACGACTACCACCCAGAGGGCCACACACACTGCAGCAGCCTGTCGTGGGGACCGAAGCTCACGGGCACGTATCGGATGCCGCACCGCCACGTAGCGGTCCACGGCAATGGCAGTGACCAAGCTGATGCTCATGTACCTGTTAACCAGGTAGATGCCCTGTGAGAGCTGGCAGATTGGTGTGTCTGAAGTATGTTTCAGGGAGTACAGCATGAATGGCAAGGAACAGAGCAGGCAGAGGTCGGCCACAGCTAGGTTGGTCATGTAGACTCGGGTCTCCGTCCACTGGTGCATGCGACAGCAGAATACCCAGAGTGCCAGGCCATTGAGTAGCAGGCCCAGCACCAGCAGCAAGACTGAGTAGACGCAGAAGACGTAGTTGAGCGAATCATGCCACGTGCTGCTGTTGCAAGTTGTGTTCATGGTCCTGGGGCTGTAGGACGGTCGAGAGGTCAGTGAGGATAGGTAGAAGGTCAAGCTCCAGGGTAAGGCCCTACCTACCCCTGTGCCATGGCCTGCCCACCTCATACAGGGACTATGGAGCAAGCACGCATCACAACGTGAAACTCCCCTTTCCAAAGAAACCATAAGAACTGTAAAATTCCCAAGGTCACCCTCGAGGCCTAACCTTTTCTCGCTGGACAGGCAGGGACACCAAAGCCTCCAGAGATGTAGGAAGACCTAACGTTTCAGTGACCAGGCCAAAGCTAGAGACAGAAGGACTCCTCCCATCTCATCTCCCTAGCCTCTCTCTCCTTGGACCAACCTGTTGGTGGGGAGAAGGGAATGGAGGATTGTCTACAGATGCTGTCTAGGAAGCCTCCAGTGGTCCTAGTCAGACACTGATGCCCACCAGTCTCACTCAGCATGCAGCTCTCGGTAGGGAGCCCCACCTATGGGCCCAAGGATCCCAAGGCTGGGCCTTGCAGCTTTCTGTCCCCAACCTGGCTGCAAGAAGACACCTCCACTTGATTCACAGATACGGCCAACACCCTCTCTGCCCAGTCTGTCCCCGAAGCACAGGACACTAGAGGGTATACAGAACTTGAGGTCACCTCTGGAAAGCTATGGGAACTTCTGAGGTACCCCCACCAGACCTGCATCATCCCAAGGACCCCTCCCAGCCTCGTGTCTGAGATCAGAGTGTAAGTAAACAGTTCTCCGTGGTCATAGCCCTGTCCCTCCAGGACCTGGATGTGCTCAGAGCCCCACGTCACAGCCTTTGTCAGGAATGTCCCCAAGGCCACTCTCCACTGCCCACACTGGCCTTTTACTCCCTTGTCCACTCCCTACAATGAGGCCCAGGAGGGTTACTGAGCCCATCAAGCCCCACCCAGGTAGGCTTGGGCAGTGGTCTGATATCTAGGGCATGGCAGGCTGCCCAGCAATCAGACTCCCCATCTCATGCTACTGCCAGGTCAGCCCCAGTTACCCCCCCATAGGGTGCCAGTGTGACTTCATATCATTGGGTGGGAACTAACACAAGAAACCGCCAGCAAGGGCTGAGTCCAGGCACACTGGACATCTGGCCCACCTCCTCGTTCCTTGCTGGGTACCAGGAAAGGCTGGAGAACTGGATGAGTCATAGCTCTCGGTCTTACTACAAGGACTTCCTGCTGGGGAAGATGACGGGAGAAGGCCTATGTTCACCAGGGAGAGTCAGGCCTAAGCTGACTGTCTGCCTCGGAACCGTGGAAGGCATGTTTCCTTTCCCACACTGGAAATGAACAAACACCCAGCCCACTGATTGCAGACAGGGAGGTTAATGCACGCTAGATTGAGCCAGGGCTCATTTCCTCTTTGGTCCCCAGAGAACCTGCAGGCCCACAGTCCATTAGAGAAGCCAGGCACAGATTCTGGCTGAACTGAATACTCTGCGATCACATTTATGTGTCTAGAGTCCATATCTGCTGGATTGGAATTCACTGCTTGCCAGCAAACATGGTTTCCTGAGCCCTGCTCTGCGTGGCTTGTATTTTCATACAACTCGGGGTTCTGAGGCCGCTGGAGAGGCCCTGAGCCAGGCTGAGCTCTGAAGGTATCCCCAGAGGCCCCAGCACAGACTACTAAGATGGCCCTTCGTGTCTGCCCCTCACTCTGAGATACACCCACCCAAAAGCAACCTCTGGGGCCTCCAGCAGAACATGTCCCTGAAATTTGTTCAGTATCCAATAGCAGTATCCAGGAGCTGGACCGAACGGGTCCTAGGCTGCCTATGGGGAAGGGCTCAGTGCTACCAGCCGCCGGACCCCCAACTAAGGCCCCTTCGCCTGAAAATGCAGCCCTACCACCTAAAAATACAGCGCCCCCCCCCACGCTTATTCTCTGCCTCGGGGCTTGGAAGGGGCAACCTGACTTCTCAGCTACCCGAAACCTGAGTCTGTGAGACGTGGGACCACTGTTCCACACGGCTCAGTGGAGACCTCCTGTTACATACCCAAGCTTGGTATTTTCAGGTTAGTCTCAACATGACCCAGCATGTTGTAGGGTCAGGTCAAAACCTCTGTTCATTTAAAAGACAACACAGAACCCTAGGGAAGAAGGATTCAAACGTTCCAAGAGGTTCGGATGAGCACCAGCTCAGCCTGCTCGAGAACCCTGCTCCTTCAGGACACCCTCCTGCAAAGCTCTAGGTATCAAGTCCCAGGGCCCAGTGACAGCCGGCAGGTTGCCCTCAACAGGTACTCGGCATCTACCACACAGCCAGTGCTGGGCAGCTCACTGCATGGTCTGAAGGAGCTGCCAGTGGCTGATGGGTTGGGGGAGCGGCGCTTTCAGGCTAGGAACTTGGTACCTGGGGTGAAGTATAGAACGGACATGAGAAGGGATTCATCTGCCTGACCTTTACCTCCTCAAACAAGGTCAAGCTCCCTTGTGTCCAGGAAGAGCAGACGACTGCCCTATGGGTTCAGCACTGCCCACCCAGGGAAGAAGTCTGTGGAGGCAGATGGAAAGCCCCCCCCCCCAGAGCCTGTCCCTCACCCATCCTGATGTCTGGATGGGGACCCACAGACGCCTGAGTGCTTGTCTGCTCATAATCAGGTCCAGGGGCCCCACCCACTGGCTGTGATTTGGAGGCAGGAATAAGGCACTATCAGTTGGATACTGCATGGGCTCTGAAACCGCAGAGCCTGGACTCCTGCCGAAATGCCCTAGGCCCTAGAGAAGGCGTGTGCCTGGAAACCCCATGCTCCTCTCAAAGGTACAAACAGTTATTTTCTTCTCTACTTTTCAAGTGCAAGACACCATCTACAAAATAGGCTTTGGCGTCTCAGATGGGGAGGGCACCAAGGCCCAGAAACATCCCGAGATACTGTACACTTGCGGCTCATGCCATCCCCTCCCCACCTCAACCCCTATGGAGCATAGTGCACTGGTCCTGAGTGTAAGCGTTTCTGCCAGCTCCCTCTGGAAGCCCACCCTGAGGACCCAAGTCCCCAGTCCAGTCCCAACTGTGCTCAAGCATACCTATCTGCCAGACCCCAGCCAAGTCCATCTGACAGACCCCAGCCCAGGCCTGCCCCGCCCTCACCTCATCCAATGGACCCCAGCCCGCCCCCCCCTCATCTAACGAAGCACCACTGTGCATGCCTTACCCAGACCCCGGCCCAGCATCATCAAATGTCACAAATTCCATGCAGCTCGGGCCATGTGGAAGCCCCAGCTACAGAAGGTAACACACCTGCTCTCGCTGGGGCTGAGGACTGAGGGTGGCCAGCCCCACAGCCGTCTGTCTGAAGCGTGCAGTAAGCTGAGTAGCTGTTGGGCTTACTGACGACAGCAACAGGGAGGTGTGGCCGCTCCCTGCTCCCCCCCACCCCCCACCCCCCACCCCCGCCTGCACTGCTTTCGACAATGGGGATTCCAGGAAGGGAAGCTGGTACCTGCCACCTCTGATGACACAGAGAAACAGCAAAGAAAGCATTTGCTCTAGAAACAGCTTGAAATGGTTAACCAGGCAGGCGGCTAGCCCCACCCTTGGATGCTTCCTCTTCCTCAGCACACTTTATTCTTTTTTATCATAACTGGGCAGGCCCCCAGTGTCTGCGGTCACCAGGTGGTACCCTATACCCTGCTTGCTGGCTGGAGGCAGCAGGGTTCCCTCCTTCCATGCCCATGAAGATGCGATTGACAGCCATGTCACACATCCCTGCTTGACAGATGACACGATAGACATTGTGTACAGGACAGAGGCAGGCCTGGCCAGTCAGCCCGCAGACAAATCCAGACAGGCCACGTCTGACCTACCTCCTCAGAAGCCTTTCCAGGGCTCATTCTCTGGGTCCAGACTATCCTTTACACCTGTAGGCCTTGCTAGGCATTCTTTGCCACAAACGTCTTCACTCAGAGCTCAGAGAGTGGGCCATTCTTGCAGATCACCTTCCCAGCCCCAACCACCCAGGGGTTAGAGACATTTTCTACAGGAGCCCCACAGCTTCTGACCACAGTGTTTCTGTCTTCAGAGCTAGGGAGGGCTTCAATTCCACCCTTCCCCCATCTTCCACAGGTGGAAACTGAGACCCAGGGGAGGAATTTATCGGCTAGGGTGTCCCAGTTGGTTTGGGACAACACCCTAGTCTGCTGTCTCTCAAGCTGAGCTCCTGCCCAAGGGGGAAGTTTGGCCTCAATCACTCTCTTTCACTGGACCACGGGCGCAGCCTATGCTGCTGACTGCCTTTCCAGACCTGGGTCCCGAGATAGACAGTCTGGTGTGGAGAAGCACGTGGGGCCAAGGTGCTTCCAGAAGAAGAAGCATCTCTTGCCTGCATACTGGGCTGAGTTTCCATCCTTGCCATCTCCCCAACTTCAACCTCTGGCCACAGGCTCTGTAGATGGTGCTGCTGGGTAGAGGCTTGGTACCCTACTATCATGTGGACTGGCTCACATGGCAGGGTCCCAATCCAGGCGTTTCTTACCTCTGAATAGATAGGTAGGACAGCAATACCAAGATGCCTCTCCCCCACCCACTGAGCTTCTCCCCAGCAGTAGCCTGGTGATCTAGAAGGCAATGTATCCCAGGAAGGCGCTCAACATGTGGGGTCATGGTGGGCTCTAAGCTGCCATCTTCTCTTGCACAGGGTGCAAGTTGCCCTCAACCCTGTCTCCACATCCTACCAAGCCACTTGTACTCTATTCTAGGCTCTTCAGGGGACTCAGGGCACCATTACCCAGGCTTTCCTATGGGTATGCCCAGTCCTTTTCTCAGGGAATTTAGATGTCCAGGTCTCAGAAACCTGGTCATTTCTGGTAGGTTCCAGGGTCCCTGCCAAGATCACACACTGTCCCTGCTAGACAGCCTCGGGACCACATCTGCAGTCTTCTGCAGGGGACTGGCTGGCCCCTCTTGCCTCTACGAGCCTCAGCACCTGGCCCAGTCTCTCTGTCTCTGTCTCTCTGCCTGTGGCTCAGGATGTGACTCTTAGCTACCGC